CTGTCTTTTGATTATTTTCACTCCTTTAGACATTTTTTAAAGGACCTAAAATTGTATATATCCGGTGTTGACAGCTCAAGATGATGTTTAATTAATTCAACACTGATGGGTATTACAAAATAGAATAGAATTACTTTATTGCAAATTGTTTGTGGTAAGAATTAATGTTTCTCTCTTCAAGTAGTGTGCAGTAAAAAAAAACACAAAAATTGTGTGTGGGTTATTGTTCTCAGTAGTAAGTCCTTCAGTTATTGGACAAACAAAGTGGACTAACAATTATATATTTCAAACTCAAAAATAATGATGGATAATCTTTGTTTTCAATTATATAAGTTTACTTTTCTCAATTACTCATTCAACAGAGTCTGTACCTTTTATGGTTAAACAGGACCAGCATGAAGAAAACATGCCGGAGTGTTTCTGAGTTGAAAAGCTGATCGATATCAAAGTCTTCCTCTTTACTTTTAGACCTGGGACCTAAGGCCCGGGAGAGAGAAAGGTGTGGCGCACTGACTCCACAGTTCAGTCTACTCTTATCACATCTCATCAGCCTGTTGAGGCACTGGTCCATAAAACTGTCTCCACTGTGATGTGCCATCATCACATCACACCCTAATTTCCTTGAACAACACCTTACAGTTGAACAAGCATGCTTTGCAATGCATAACCACAGTGCAATGGTTGAATTGGGCACCAGGGGACATCTCCCTCTCTCACTGCTTATTAAACCACCAGCTACACTTTCAGAACTTCCCCATGCCAGCCCAAGCAGAGAGCGGAAGCTTTCCCTGAGCAGCTAAAAAAAAGTGTTGCACATTTTTGTTTTTGTCAAGTTCACTCACTGACTCATGACTGGACAGCACATGGTAAAGTTAAACTGTGTGTTTATGCTTTTCTTTTGAGCATTGCTGTGTTTGCACAAAATGCAAGCTAGGTGTGGATGTGGAGGATGACGTTGGATTTGAGTTATTAGGAAGTGTGTGGGTGTGTGTGAGTCTGTCTGCCTGTGTTTTCTGTAAGTGGTTGCAAGTGCACACTGAATGCAAAATGGCTCCCTCAGCTGCCTCCCTGCGGGCCCACCAGACTTCCCAAGCCGAACACATCGAGCCAGGCTGCCGCCCTCTTGGGGTCGGGGCTGGTTAACAAGCAGCAGAATAAACGCCAGCTAGTTAAATCGTATGTAACTTTTTTTTTTACTCTGCACAAATAGTGTGACCTTTATTGATTTCTTGTCTCTGCCTTCAGCTGGGCGAAACGCTAATGGCACTGGTCAATAAAAAGCCATGAAGTGGAAGTTCTCAATACCTCCCCCTCCCCCCCCACTGTGCATAGTGTGTTGACCGCATCCCCTTAAAATAGTCCCCACCACCCTCAGAGGCCCGGTGAGCCTGTGCCGTGACAGCTCGGGGCTCTTATTCGATACGATTTGCACCGTTTGTGTCCTCGAAGACGTAAGCGGGCTAACATGCTGAGCCGTCCGGCCGAACACATCCACTTCGACTCCGGTCCCCGCCAATTCCCATTCAGATGGCCGGGCCACGTTCACTCAGTGCCCTGCCTCCTCCAATCAATACATTTATAACACGAGGAGCTGAGCATATAACACTGTGACTCAAGGCACGCAGATCGAAAAACAAGCAGCGGCTTCAGCAACCACATCTTTTTCTGCAAATCTGGGACCCACTGCTTCAAAGTCTTACTCTCACATTTCAAAAGGACAAGTTTACGATCAAAAAATAAATATGTCTGCTAACTGTGTTGCTACCACCCACTGTTTTATTGACTGATCATGTCAATGTGTACCCCTGCGTGCTCATGTCTTTGCCTCCACACTTGCACTTATTGAACTTTGCAGAAAGACATATTATGAGCACAGTTCAATGGAGCTGAAATGATCCCCCACTTCTCTCCTGAAGAAAACAACCATGTGGCCTAGAAAACCAGTAGGTCTCCTTCCAAACGTCTCAAGTCTAAACTCTGTTTTCATTGCAAAACCATGACCCCCTTTTACTGTACTTGGATGTCTTTCCTTGCTTTAAAGCTGCGCTGCACTCAGAGCGACAGAGCTAAGTTTCTCACACGGTGATATGTGAGTGGAAGCTCTGGGAGGGGACCTCTGTGGTGCCCAATCTCCACAGTGAGAGCAGCAGCAGCAGTATTGATTCACCTTGCAGCCTTGAGCCTGCTGTCACACACAGTATATCACTTTATTTAATCCACTGTTAAATAGGCTGTAATTAGAAATCTGTCCTGCAGATGTGCTTCACCTAAACGGTGGTTGGTGGCGAAGTTCACTCTGCTCTGCCTGTTGCACTGTGTGGTTCTCGTGACAGTATTTTATTTCGATGATGGATTGGAATCTGAGTGCTATTGACAGTGTCTGCAAAGAGAAGGCAAATGATGCAAATAAACCCTCTCTTGGGGGATTAGCCCGCTCGCTGTTTGAAAAGTACTTACAGTAAGTCTGCTAATTGTGGATAGTGTTTCCTAGTCCCTCGCCTCGATCTAATGAACGACTGCCGTTCACAACACCTCTCGCATCCACATGTGACCAGTGTTCATAGACACCTGGAAAAATCTTGTATGTAGGACAGACACATGCCAGATTGTTTTTATACTTTTGAAAGTGGTATATAACTAACCACAATGAACAAGTATTTAGAATTCAAACATTATAAAAATGTTATTTTCAATTTTTTAAGTTCCTGAAATAAAAT